ACTGTGCATGGGAAACAATCTGGGAGTGTTTCCTGACCACAGCTGCATTGGTGGGGAGACTCAACAACTTTGGGCCATCTCCCCTCATTTTCTTAAAATGGAGTCCCCCAAAGAGGGAGTGTCTTATACAAGGGGGCGTCTTATAGACGGAAAAGTATGGTATGTGTATTTCTGGGTAGCTAAATGTTTGTCACATTGAGAAAGAATTATTATTTTTATTATTAAAAAGGAAAAAGGTTGAGTTGTCTAAAAAAGAGAAGAGTGTTACAGCTATGAAGGTAAATGCAAACACCTTAATGTTTAATATTTCTGTGCTAAAGAACAAGAACATTGGAAATATTACTGCAAAGCAAACCCAAGTCCTTATTTAAACTATTTGCCATCCAAGTTAGTATTTAGCTTTGCAGTTTCTGGTGAAGAATATGCCAACAGAGCTTCTACCACCACTAACAGCAGCAGCAGCAGCATTATTAAATAGCCTTCTAAGCAGTTTACAAGTATAAAATCCAATTACACAAGCATTAAAATACTGTTTGCGGGTGCAAGACACCCTATATTCCAGATCCAGCTAGTGTTAGAATTAAATTAAATTCTAATTAAAACTGGTTGTTAGACATGTGTGTATTTGAACTGTGTACTAGATGCCTCAAGCCCTCTGGAATCAACATGCATCAAGAGCTAATTAAGCCAGGACTAGCCTCTTACATGAGCTGATAGTCTGGGGGTAATGAATGTTTAGGATCAAGGGCAACTTTCATTTGCAAATGAGTGGGCTTACTCCTTCCCTCCCTCAACTGAGAGTTAGTTTGAAAAGACAATACCAGTGTTTTAGGTTAGGATTTTAGAATTGCAGTTGGGAGTTATGTGGCAGAGATAGTAAGCAGTGGGTTTGAGAGTAACGTTTGAGACAAATGGTTGGGTGACAAATCTAACCCACCCCCCACCCCTCCTGACATTGTATGCAATAGGAGTGAAGCTATAGGAGTGAAGTTATCCCTTTCCCTAAGAGATGTCCTGTTTTCCTATTAGCTTTGCCATGTGATTTTTTTATTCACGAGCCATTGGATTTTCTAGAGATTCCTAAATCTCAAACGAGTATTAAACAGCATATGCATTTCTTACAGGGAGTTTTGCATGCAAAATGAAAATCCACCCTCCAGTGTGGAGTAATGGTTTTAGTTGTTGAGTATGTGTGGGTGTTGGGAAAGATGGAGGGCACAAGGAGAAGGGGATGACAGAGGACTAGATGGTTGGACAGTGTTCTCGAAGCTACCAGCATGGGTTTGACCAACTGCGGGAGACAGTGGAAGACAGAAGTGCCTGGCGTGCTCTGGTCCATGGGGTCACGAAGAGCCGGACACGACTAAACGACTAAACAACAACATGTGTGATTAGCATTGGGTCAGGAATGGCTGAAACAACTTCATTTATGATATGAATGTTCCCAAGATACTTTCTCTTCAGTAGTTAGTCAGCTTTAGTTAATATAAATCGGTCCTGCTGCCAGTGCAACATAAGCAAAAATGGGGAGGAGTGAGTATCTATCACTTGCTAAATGCCATGCCTCCTCTGTGCATTGTACATTAAATCCCAGGACCAATATTTAATGTCAGAGTGCAGAGCTAGCCCTGCCAATTCACACTGAATCAATTCAAGCAGTAATACATGTTTAATTTAGCACAGAGCAGATGACTCGCACTGGCAAGAAATACCTACTGGATGATAGCTTTGGCAGTAATCCACACCCAACAAATGATAGTCCAAATATTTCCATCCTATTAGTGAGAGTTATGGGGCAATTCAGTTGGTTTACAGCTTGATAATTAAGGTTTTAACTTGTTCATAAATGACCCGGAGTTAGGGGTGAGGCAGTGAAGTGCCCAAGTTTGCTGGTGACACCCAATTATTCAGGGTAGTTAAAACAAAAAGGGATTGCAAGGCGCTCCACAAAAAACGTGAATGGGCATGAAACATCCATATGCAGTTCATCTCAGTGGTACAACCTCTCACTTATTTACTGCTGGATATGGCACCTAATTTATTCTCATACGAAGCCTGATTATTAATGAGCAGGTCAGTTTGTGTGGCAAAATACATTGTCGGCATAACCAGGTGACATCTGAAGGTACAGAAGTTGGCCACTGATCCCCCCTTATAGTAGATCATTGCTAATTATTTAAAACAATGGAGATACAGTGGTACCTCGGGTTAAGTACTTAATTCGTTCCAGAGGTCCATTCTTAACCTGAAACTGTTCTTAACCTGAAGCACCGCTTTAGCTAATGGGGCCTCCTGCTGCTGCTGCGCCGCAGGGCCACGATTTCTATTCTCATCCTGAAGCAAAGTTCTTAACCTGAGGTACTATTTCTGGGTTAGCGGAGTCTGTAACCTGAAGCGTATGTAACCCGAGGTACCACTGTACTGATGAATTACCACACCTACTCATGTCTCAAATTGGTGAACATTGTATACTGATTGCTAAATCAATCCTCTTTATCAGCAGTTCCAGCCCTATCATTAGGCAGATCTCCTTAGATGGCAGTCAACATTTCAATCAAGCTATCCACCAATATCCCAATTTTTTTTTCCTAATTAGTGCAAACCCCATTTGTGTATTATGTTAAGTTGGAAATTTTTTTGCCCACGTGTACATCATTTTACATGTTTACATTGAAATGCATTTCTAATTTTAATGCCCACTCACCGTGTCTGGAGCTCCTCATGACACCTCATCCTTTTATTTTTCCACCATGAATAATTTGGTGTCAATAATACAATCAGTGTAGCGTATAAATGGATTGATTTTATTGTATACTAGAGTACACATTGCTGTCATAATAGGAGTTTGTTTTTGTAATTCTTGCTGTAAGTACAAAGTGTACTTACAAAAAGTTAACTTCAAAAGAGCCCCATTTCATTTGACACAAGAAATGCAATTTGAATGGGTTGCAGATCTCAGCCAAAATAGTATGCTTAGGTTATGACCTGCCATTGATTTTACAGAAGAAAATATTAAGCTTCCATGGAATCCTTTTTAACTGTTTTAGAATTGATCCATGCTAGAGCTCCAATGGAAAGAGAAAGAAATCGGATAATCAGATTTGACATTTTTGTTATTGTATACTTTTGCTATCTTGATAGGAATTAAATTAGAGCAGATTTGCACTTGGGCTCAAAAGTCTTGTCCCACACATCAGGGACCGAGGTGCTATTTTAAAATCTACATTCTTATTGAAATTGATTGGCAGGTATTTGTGGAACAATAATTGGGATATGTACACAAATCCCTAACGATGCATTATCAGGGTTTGATTTTGTTATCATTAGGGTTGTCAACCAATCCAGCAAATTACAGTAAATGGATTTCATTAACTGATTAAATCTGCATACACCTGTATGTGAATAAAACAATAGTTTTGAAGAAAAAAAGTGTTATTTGGCCTTTTTAGCTGATGCCTGCCTGTGCTGCAGCAGGCATTATCTTAAAAAAAAGAGGTTCCCTCCTGACTGAGAAAAAAGTGTTTTCCTTCCAATAATCTGCCACCTATAGCTTTTATCAGTTCTTACATCAAAAGTAAAAAATAGTTGCCTAATTTAAATGGAGACACCTTTTAAGTTGATCAGAAGTTTTTTGATCGATTTGTCTAACCAATTACCGTACTCAATGGGGAGGGTGATTTTGTGGCACTCACTCTTGTGTTGGTTGACGTCTGCAACAGGGCTAACATAGTAACACATTTGTGTACTTCTACAAGTTGAATCAGCAGCAAACATTAGTTGTAAAAACACCCACAGACACACTCACAGTGTGAATCGTGAATTAGGATGTTGGTCACTGATCATGACCATATTATGTATGCAGAGAAGGCACCATCAGTGTGTGTTAATAGCTGGAATAAGCTTTTCCTGCTTAAGTTGTTATGGTCTCAGTACAGAACCAGAAAATAAGCTCTGGTCCCTCAGTGGGATCAATGCCCGAACACTGAAGATGTACACAGTGCTTTTTTCTGGAGGGACACAGGGGTACGTATACCCCTAAACATTTTGTGAATCTAAGTTTGGCCTCATTGAGGGGCAGTATTTCAATATGAGTAGGAAAATGAGAGTACCCCTAAACATTATTTTTTTTAGAAAAAAAAGCACTGGATGTACATAACACAACATAGTCGTCCAGTTGTGATTTTGAATGGTGGAAAAGTCTGAAAAACACCCCATTTTTTGTTTTGAAAAAATAAAAGTGTTTTGCATGTCTCCTAGCCATTGCTCTCGCAATCAGTTGCTTCATGAGCACAAAGTTTATATTTTAATAGATGTTGCCTACACTCTCTCTGCTTCCCCAGCCCAGTTAGTGTGTGATTAAAGACTTTTTGCTGTGCCCTGATGTACTAGATCTTAATTAGTAATATTAACACCTTCTCTGCACATTAAATTCTGAAGCACACACCTATTATGTACAGCTAAAAATGCAACGGGTAAGTATAGCAAATATCCTTATACCCCAACCCTTGTTTGCTTGCTTAAAAGTACTTGGTTGTTGTGACAATCCTCCAAATTCCATTTTAACAACAACAACAACTGCAACAGCAGCAACAACAGCAGCTCTCCCTTTTTAATTCTTCCCACCCAAAAAAAACTTGTCAGAATGTCCCCCATAAACTGCAAACAGAACTATCTTCTTCTGCTTCTTCATCATCATATTTGCATCTCACCTTTCTTCCATGGAGCTCAAGGAGGCTTCCATCATTCTCCCCATTTTATCCTTTCAACAACCCTGTGAGGTAGGTTGGGCTGAGAGCATGTGACTGGTGCAAGGTCACGCGGTGAGCTTCGTGGCCAAGTGAGGATTTGAACCCTGGTCTCTCGGGTCATAGCCCAACACTCTAACCACTATGCTCTCTTTCTCCATGAAAGGTGGGGCATTTTATTTTACAATCAACATATATTTTTCTTGGGTTCATTTGCTATGACAATGAAAATGTGAAATTCTGTTTTGGATTTACCTCTACATAGATGCACAGCATAGCACACTCCAGTCTGTGAAAGAAGATTCTTCACGAATGAGTCATTGTTGAACTGGCTGCTCAAAAGGAAGCTCAGAGTAGTCCATAAATCTTCCTTACATTCCGTTATTAAAGAACATGGATTTTTGTCTGGTAAATAAAGGGAAAACACTCATTAATCCACTTAGTTCTTGTATGAGGAGGCAGGGAAGGGGAAATGATGCTTTACGAGCAGCAAACATTTTGTAGACACAAGAATGGTCTAAAAAAAAAATCCAAAACACCAGTCTGAAACCCTTCCAAAACTAATACATCATGACTTTGAATCTGTTATGTTGTCTGCACAGCCTTGTTCTGTTGTAGTGGGTTAACTCAATTGAATTATATATATTCTAGAGGTTTGACCAAACTGCGGGAGGCAGTGGAAGACAGAAGTTCCTGGCGTGCTCTGGTCCATGGGGTCACGAAGAGTCGGACACGACTAAACGACAACAAATATTATAGAGAGAGATCTCTGTCAGAATGAGCCAGATGTTTGCCAGGGTGGGATCTGGAACATCTGTCCTCTACCAGTTTAGCTGTTTCACCAGCATGGTGCATGTCATGAGAAATACCATCAGAAAGCTGAAAGGCAGAGGAAAATAATAGATTGTTTTATAGTTTCAACATTTGTCATACTCTGAGTAGACCAATTAAAACTAATGGACATGACTAACTTAGGTCTGTTCACTTCAGTGGCTCTACTCAGTGTAGAACTTAGTTAGGCACACTCTTATGTGCGAGGAATTACCTTACACATAATAATATTCTGCTAGGAATAACAGTAAGGAAATGGCTTTTTCAGTCATTAAAACAACAGCAGTCGGCAGGTATCAGTACCCACCAAATCAACTGGGCTCATGGTTTTGGAGAGAAATCCAGAACAACTTCAGGATCAGAAGAATAACTCTACTGGATAAAAATGCAGCTAGGTTGCTCTCTCCCCCCGCCCCCCAAAAAATTTGGATCAAAGTTGGTTTGTGGGGAAACATCTGAAAAAGTTGTATCTATTCTGTCCTTTTTAAATTTTATTTTAGATACAGGATAGAGATGATTTGTGGCTAAAGGTGTGTGTACATCACTTCCCAATCCAGCAGTGGGTGTGGACTGGATGCAGAATAAACAAGGGTGTGTATACAGCTTTAGTAACAAATCAAACAAGTTCAAATTTTATTATGTGGTCACAGATCTGTTAAGAAAAATGTAAGAAAATTGACAGAATTTGATTAAAGTCATGTTTTTCCCCCCTGAGGTATTCAATCATCCCATCCATCAAGTATGTGCTCAATATAAAGCATATTTAGTGCCTCAAACTTAGCAGTCTATTAGCTAAAAGAGACAGTTCTCGTATTTCTGAGAGCATATTGGCTGTCAGTCCTGCTCCCTGTTTTGCAGGCCTTTTCCCACCTGGCCTGGTGGGGCTGGGCCCTGACTGACTCCCACTTTTTGTGTTGGTGTGTTTGGTGAGGGTTTGTTGTTGTTGGTTTTCTGTATCCTTATTTTAGATCTTTTTGTGATTTAGATGAAAACTGTTCAGTTTCGCTGTGTATTTTTTTAGTGTTTTATTATTATTTATGACAACTAGAATTGATGCTTTTGAATTATGGTGCTGGAGGAGACTCTTGAGAGTCCCATGGACTGCAAGAAGATCAAACCTCTCCATTCTGAAGGAAATCAGCCCTGAGTGCTCACTGGAAGGACAGATCCTGAAGCTGAGGCTCCAATACTTTGGCCACCTCATGAGAAGAGAAGACTCCCTGGGAAAGACCCTGATGTTGGGAAAGATGGAGGGCAGAAGGAGAAGGGGACGACAGAGGACGAGATGGTTGGATGGTGTTCTTGAAGCTACCAGCATGAGTTTGATCAAACTGCAGGAGGCAGTGGAGGACAGAAGTGCCTGGCTTGCTCTGGTCCATGGGGTCACGAAGAGTCGGACACGACTAAACGACTAAACAACAACAACATGACTACTTGTGTTATGTGGTAGTTATGTATCATATTTTCATGCTTGAGCATGGTTTGAACAGTGAAATATAAATAAAATAAAATATAAATAAAATAATGCAGGTATGCATGAGAGTACTGATAATATGGGTGTTTGCGGGTGGTTGTTTTTTTTAAAAAAAGAATACAGTACTCAGGTAGTGCAGGAAATGCCGGTAGTAATTTAGGCTTAAATATGTTTCATGGGTATCACCAAGCATAAATACAGCTATAATTTAACTTGTGGTATTAATATTACTAAATGTGTATATTTTTAAATAGTTTAATGCATCATTTAGCTAGGTGTTGAGAACATTATGGTTCTTTTATTTAAAGATGAAGGCTCTTTATGCAGACAATATATTTCATCTATCTTAGTTTATTATCTCGTTTGATTCTAGACAAAGGGTGTCTACAACGAGGGAATCCAATCTCAGTTTTGACAAGGCTTCTCAAATTCAATGCACAAAATTCAAGCTTCAGTGTACTTTTGAGTAAAAAGCCCTTGCTACCCTCCTTTTGTGTATGTCTCTCTCTCTCTCTCTCTCTCTCTCTCTCTCTCTCTCGTGTGTGTGTGTCTATTTGTGCATGGCAGAGAAGTGCTTTGTGAAGTTGCTGCTGAGCTCAAAAGTCTGTGACATTATTAATTGAGAAGACTACGCTGTATTATGGATTGCTAGGTCATTTAAATATGTATAGTTTTATTTTGGGACTCACAGCACAATGAGAAAGCAAATGTGGGCCTGAAAATATTATTGTAGGCATCCTGTTTGGATAGGCAAAATGACATTTTTGCTAAGTTTTTGCATGGCTTATGTCTGACGATATTCTTTCCACTTGCATTGATGGCTAGATGGTTGCTTGAATGAGCATGGATGGGTTTTGATGGCTAGCAGCTGCTAGCTACTGGGCACACCCCACTTACAGTACTTGCAAATGTGTGTTTGTGGGCTGGAGAGAAACAGTTCGGAACTTATAAATGCAACCAGTGAAGAGGAAAATATCAAGTACAAGTTTTGCAGCTTGCTGGCAAGAATGAGCTTTGGGGTGCATCAAGAGTAGGTTGTTTGTTTGTGAGCCTAGGTGTTGGTTTGCTCCCCTTGACTGTAAAATGCTACCCCTGGAATTAGTCTCTTGGGAAAATTGGGATGTATGCAATGTACTTGGTAGCCATGAAGTAGCAATGAGAACCAATGTGATTCAGAAAAGAATGACTGCTGGGCTTCAGTATGAAAGATCTGAATCTGAGTCGCCTTCTCTGTCATGGACTCATGGGGTGGCTTTAATTCAGCAGGAAAATAATAAAAGAAGGACTACAACCCACCTTTATCCCAACTTCTACCTTACTTTAGTAAATGAATACTTTAATATCTGCTGGGTCAGCATTCATATACGTCTATATCATTTAGTGTCTGACAGTATACCAAAGCTGAAAACATGACTGCTTACAAAGAAATTAGCATCTTCCCCATATTGTATGCAAATAATATGTAGCGGATGTTATTTCCTCCCAGGCAAATTGCTTACTCTGCAGACACTCTTAATTACTTCCACTATCTCAGTTTGACTTGCTGTTGAAAATCTATTTGGGTTTTTTATGGTGGCATTTAGAGTCTTCCTTTTGCTTGTGAGTCTGACTTTTTGTACCAGCACTTGGAAGATGGGATACAGAGTTGCCCTTCAAAGTTGGCAATAATTCATGCTTGAATTCTTTGCTCATGAAGGGAAAATAACAATGTTGTAAATATTCTTTAAGCAAAAATGTTTGCATTGAAAGAGACTCGGTGCTTTTAAAAATGTCTGCTTAATTCTACCACCCTCTTGGTTTGCCATTGTTGTGCTCATATTCACCTGTTCAGTGTGCAACAATTAATGCTCTCTTTATCAACTCTGCATTGTGCACATACAATTGATCTGTAAAGCTTTGAAATATTGTTAAGCAAAGGGCTAAGAGCCCAAAATCTAGAGTATTCTGTAACTTCTCCTTCTCTCTCCCCCTCCCATTTTAAGAAAAGAAAAGAAAAATACTGCATCAGTCTAATGAAAAATCAGAATTAAAGACCTTTCCAAAAGATAAATGAGCAGCTCTTTCGAAAAACTCTCCACTCCATAAGTTTTCATGATCATACCTTTTCGGTATCATTTTGGGGGTTATCCTGTGGTCGGAAAAAATGATCATGGCACTTCTCTTCTTCTGAAGATAGTGCAGTCTAGCCTAGTATATTATTGATTTGTGGATTATTGCTTGCTTCTAATTTATCTGCAGGAGACAGAGCAGATAATAGAAACAGCCATTTTGGCAATGCAGCCTGTAGAACACAGGAGACACTGCTTCATCATCCCAAAGCTCTATTTATCTCATTTGTTTACATCTATTAGTATAATTCTATATTCATTATAACTGGCACCTCAGCCCTATAGATCTGCTAGAACAGTAATATCCTAGGATTTGGGATTCTGTTCTTGTGGCAGTGGCTCTGTGGAGGATGTACCACATTAATAATTACATTGCCCAGTCTTCTCTGTGATCAGAACTAAATGTTTCGACTCACCTCTTGAGGGGAAAGCCAGTTGGTCTGAGTTGCACGGAACTGACTTCCTCTTGGCTTCTTGTAAGATTTGCTTTGGCACCTGCAAAAGCCCGAAACAGTTTATTACTTGCTCATAATGTGGTAAATAAAGAAGATTGCATGTTATTGTAAATATTATTTTTTTGTAATTATTCTTAATTGTTTCTGTTGTAGCTTATGGCTGGCTGGCTGGCTTTATAAGGAGTAAACATAGTCCAAACTGTCATTCTGATAACTTACCATAAGAAAATCCACCCAAAGGTTTGCTTCTATTTCCCTGTTACTGTAATTTTTGTTTTGAAAAGTTTGCTAGGATGCGCTGTGGAATCACCATAACTTCTGCTCCTGCTATTGCCCTTGCAAGAAACAACTTTGTGAACAGTAGGTTGAAACACTAGTACAGTAGGTTGAAACACTAGTATTGTGTCAGTGGCTTCCGCTGAGTTGTTTCTAAGTATAACATCATTAGCTGGGGCATGACACCAGGAGGCTAATCCTGTGTCCTTTTTTACTCTTTCTTTATATTGAACTTTATAAGCAGTGAGTTTTCTTCATTTGGAGATTCATGGGTTTCCTGTTCCATGCCTTGTAGTACTCTTAATTAAGGTGCCTTTTGAAGTCCACATATGGGGTTGTGCCAGCAGAGAACACCATATAGGAAATCTTCTCCCTCCCTTTGTGGATTCTCAGGGTCTGGGCAGTAGAAATCCTTCAAGCATTGAGCCATGGAAGGATGTACATTCAACATCAGAACTTTGAACTGGACTCCGGAAATCAACAACATGGGGACTGGAGGAGGAGGAGGTATTTTGGAACATGTAGATAGATGTGTATTTTATTCAGGAAATGCTAAAGAAATATCCACCGCTTTTATTATAATAACTGCAGTGAAGCTTATTAATTTATGAAGGTGAAGCACCTTGAAAATAAGCATGCCTCCACTGATGGTAATAAAAGCTCCATTTATCATTAAGTGTGTCAGGCTGAAAACATTATCAGCGCTCACCTAATAAGCAGTGATGGAAGAAATGGAGTGCAGCACACTCAGGAATGCACCCATGCATTAGTCACGCTGTAATACCGTCTGATTTGCATTATGACACCCTCGGGAAGAAAACAGTGTTGACAGGTGCATCAAAGCAAAGGCATGAGACCTCTGAGATGGATTTGTTCAAATGGGCAAAGGAAGAAATACAGCAGACATCAGAAGGAGAAACGGGGTGGGCAGAGGCAGTCAAAGAAAACAGTCTAGCTGCAGCTCAGTTCTGAACATCCTCTCCATTCCCATGAATTGAGTGGGATTTACACGAATATTAAACATGTAGGAAGTTAAGAATTGCTTCCAGTATTCGGAGCACCCAGTAGTCAGAGGTATGATGAACCAGCCCAGAGACAGGCCTATCAGATCTCCAGACAAATTATTCAGAGCATGGGCTAGCGATGGCTTGAAATCAGGGCTGGCGTCAGACTTCAGGGTACTGCCAATGGGTGGCATCCCCAACATATGCCCCCAATGCATGGTATTTTTCTTCTTCTGCCACTGCTGTTGCTGCCAAGGCTACAGCAACACCACTCACCAAGCCTTGCTGAACCCCTGGGCAGCTTTTTAAAGCAGTGGGTCAGTGCTAGGGCCATTTTTTAATGGGGGGTCAAACTCTGTTCCCATCTGTGGTGACCACATGCTACTTTAATTTATCCTAAATGCACACACCAATTTTGGGTAAATCCAAAATGCAACATCTAGGCCTGTAGGTCTATGAAAAGATTTAACAGATCTATAGACCTGGGCATTGCATTTTGGATAAATTAAGATGGAAAGGGAGAGATGGCCACTGTGAATGGGAACCAAGTTTGGCTCCCATTTGAAACAGTCACTGCCATTCATTCACTACTAAAACAGCTGTCTGAGGCCTCAGAAAGGAGGGCGGGAAGTGACTGCATGGCTGGTTCACATCTTCCTCTGGACCTCTAAGGCCCTGAGCCAGTGCCCAACCTGGCCAGCTGCTGTTGCTGGGCCTATTTAGAACCATATGCCTCAACTGAATATGTATATGTGTGGTGGTTTTTTAAAATGAAAGTTTAATGCCCATCCATTCTAGAAGCATCTTGCCTCAATGTCAGGCTTGCCGTTGGCATCTACGGACCTTGCTTTATGGCTCGCCTGCAAGTGACTGATCAGCTAGGGATCTCCCCAAAGGATAAATGTGTTTTACTTCAACATCACTGCTGAGTACCATGAAATATTAACTTTATACATAGAACTAAAACTATCTTCAGAGCCAAAGGACTCTTTGAAACTATTTTTCTTGTTGATTTATTCATTCATTTTTCAAGAGGCAATAAGACATTTAGCATCTTGAAGTCATTTGGTACCTTGGAGGTTTAAAAAAGCAAAAAGAAACCCTACTGAGCAGTATTTATATAATAACATAATGCCATGGGTAGCAAACATAAGACCTTATGAAGCCCCTTGTGGTGGCTACCCTTACTCATGCTACACAAATCACTGAATTATCTCCAAGGACCATCCTAGTTGCAAGGAACTCAATGCCTTCAATACAGCAAAAAATTTAATTCACTAGTGCCTGTTACTGCATGTTTTTTGCAACAGCCTACACTGTGCACCCATTTCTGGTGTTATTGTTGCTTCCATAAATGTATGTTGGGTGTTATAGAGCTTGCAAAGAAGTTCCATACTGTGCAGTGTTGCATATCAAAGTAGACATGGCAATAAATTCAGATGAAACTGACATTTTTGTTGAGATAAAAAGGAGATGACTCAAGGATAGGGGTGGGGAACCTCCAGTCATCTAGATGCTGTTGTACTACACTTCCCATGAGTCCCAGCCAGCATGGCCCTATGAAGGAGTTGTAGTCCAACAGCATCTATAGGACTGGAGGTTTCCCATCATCCCTACTTCAGGGAAGCTACTGTGTGGAGCATATGACCCTTCATACCTTCATTTATACCATGTTAGCATTAAATAATATATACACATATGCTATCTTCTCCCTTGGAAATCTATAATAAGAACTGCATGCCTGCCCTTTGGTTAAGACTGCAATCCTATGTAGATGTACCGTACTTGGAAATACCCCCCCCCGAACCTAAATACAGTGGAACTTACTTCTAAGTAAACATGCAGGATTGTGCTCTGTAAAGTCAGCATATTTCCTCCTCATGTGAAGGACAAGAACAGTTCAAGAAAGATCTTCTCGGACTTTTGGAACATGGAACATGAAAAGCATTGCCTTATTCCCAATGTGCTTGCTCTTTCATTTACAACTCATTTACCTCCCACATATAAACCTATTTGGTACTTGTATTATACAGTGAATGATTTTCCAATTTAAGTCACATTCATTCATATTTTATGTAGTGTCGGGGGGGAGGCTTTTCTGGTTTAAAGCTTAACATTTATTGTCATAATGATATTCCTGTCTTAATTCTACTTCATTCTTAAGACATTTAGTTCTGCAGAGTGGTGGAAATGAAACTTGCCCTCATTACATGGTTGCACAGAAAGAGGTTGGAAAGTTCTTGCAAATGGAAAAGATTTGCTTGTACAAAAAAATGCCTTTCATATTGATATCAACATGCCTTGTCTAATTCTCTCCACGAGTACTCTGTGACATTAATAGCTGAAACTTTCAAATAGCAACCTCTAACAACCTATGGACACATTTTACATCAAGGATTGGGAACCTGTGGCCCTGCAGTTCCCGTTGGACTTCAGTTCTCATCAACATGGCCAGTGATTATGGGAGCTGTAATCTAGAGAACCACAGGTTAGCCATCCCTGTTCTGCATGTTGAATTTTCCCCAATGGTTGGGATGTAAAAAACATTACTTGTTCCACATACTGAAGGGTTGGCATTTCTTAAACAGGAGCCCACGGTGCCACATGTCAAACCACCTGAGGGGACTTCTAGAAATAAGACACGCCCTTCAGATGTTGTCAGACTACCATTCCCATTATTCTTGATCATTGGTCTTTCTGGCTGGGTTTGATGGCAATGTAGTACAATAGCATCTGGATGACACCATGTTGATTACCCCTGGTAGATGGCATGGGAATCTGCTCTTTAAAAAAGAAAGTAAAAAATCCCACTGACATGCCTATGAATCCCAATCAATATGTCATCCAAGATCTGTCTGTCATGTGTAAAGAGTGCAGCAGTGGAGGAGCTCATGTCAACCCTTACTGTTGGTTACGCTGACTGGGACTCAAAAACACCAGGAATGCCACAGGTTCCCCACCACTGGAATAGGGCAACATGTTTCCCACTGGAGTGGAGTCAGATCTACTCACTAATGAGAGCCATTCCAGTTCAAGAAATAAGACACTCCAAGCCTGGAGCCCTAAACATACCCAACTCCCTTGACTGTTCCACATAAGTATTGGTTTCCAGACCCTTGATCTTCTTTGTCACCCTCCTCTGTACACAATCCAGCTTGTCAATATCCACTTAACAGTTACCTCTTCTAGCCCACATTTTACCAGCTTCTCCATAAGAATATGATGGGGGACTTTGTCAAAATTCTTACTGAACTCAATATACAGCACATCCACAGCATTCTCCCGATCCACCAAGCTTGAAACATGGTCAAGAGAGAGAGAGGGAGGGAGGGAGGGAGGGAGATTCATTCAGCATGGATTGTTTTTGAGAAACCCAAGCTGGTCTTAGTAATCACAATATCCTTTTCCAAGTGCTCACAGACTGACCATTTAATTATCTTTACTAGTTAAACCCACTCCCCTTCATATGAGCCAGAACTAGATTGAAAACCCTTTCTTCTTTTTCTGACTATCTATGATGTGACCTCCCTGGTTGCAGATTTCACTTCTGGAAGTGATACCTGTACTGATTACCTTGCTAAGTTTTAGATAGTTATATGACCGTGGAATTGTGTGATTTTGACCTCTGCTGTGATGCAGTCATGGATTCATAAACTTTCATTAAGCATAAGATCAGTTGAGAAAGGCGTTAAGTCAGCAGTGAGCTAATAAAAGAAGAACTGAGGGATGAGACTGAGAACAGGAAAGATGGGATATTAGC